CTGAACCCAGATAAAACTAAGAAATGTACAACATAACACAAAAATATCAAAGTTTATGGGGTGTACTGAAGCACTGCTGCAGTAGAAATGTATGACACCAAATTCTGTTAAAAATAAAGTAAGAAAAAACAGTTGGCTACACAGCACTGTAACTAAGGCTACTTCTCTGAACTTTTCAAAGTGGTTCAGATGGTAAACTTTGTTATGTATATTACCACAATTAAAATTGTTTGACTTGGTTTTTGTTCTTGATTTTTTGAGATGGGGTCTTGCTACATCGCCCAAGCTGACCTCAAACTCATGATCCTCCTGCCATGACCTCCATAGAGCTGGGATTACAAATGTGTACCACCACACCCTCAGCATTCTAAAGATAAGATCTCAAATCAACAACTTGAGTCCCTACTTCAAGAAACTAGAGAGTTGGGAGTGTAGCTCAGTGTAACACACGGTGTTCAGCATACACAAGGCCCTGGGCTCAGTCCCCAGACTGGGGTGTGGAAGGGGACTAGAAAAAAAAATAAAATAAACCCCAAGAAAACAGAAGAAAGAAAATTATAAACAAAAGAAACTGATGAAACTGGAAATAGAACAACCAATGAAATAAAAAGCTGATTTTCAAAAAAAAGTATTAAACCACTACAAAACCACTATCATAGCTGACAAAAATAAAAGCAGAGGACACAAATCACCAATATCAAAATAGGGGCTATATCACTACAGATCCTACCATCATTAAAAGATAATAAAGACAACTTTAGAACAGACAATTCCTCAAAACTCACAAACTATTCATACTTAAACAAGATAAATAGAGAAGATGAATAGACCTAAACATATCAAATTGAATGTAAATAAAAGGGGACCTCATGCATGGTGATGTACGCTGTAATCCCAGCACTGGATGCTGAGTTAGGAAGAACAGGCCAACCAGCTCGAGGCCAACCTGAATTACATAGTGATACCCTGCCTCAAAAATAAATAAATAAATAAAAATTGGGGAAGAGGATTAGTGGAGGAAGAACTACAGAGATCTGAACTCCTGGCTCAGGTGCTTTCACTAGAGATTTCTGTCAATCCTTTATAGAATTAACACACCATTTGAGAACAATATTTTCTAGAATGTAAGAACAAATCATTTCTAAGTTCACTGTTACCCTGTTACCAGATATTATTAACTCTCATGAACTTAAGATACAAAAAACTTCAATAATCAAAAATATCCTCAACTAAATATTAGCAAATTAAATCCAATCATGAATAAAATTACATACCAGGACCAAATGGGACTTAAGACTGTTCCAACATCAAAAATCATAAAAGTAATATATTACAGCCAAAAGCTGAAGAAAATTCATGTGCCCATATTACAGGTTGAACAACCCTAACCCATAAAACTGAAACACTCCAAAATCTGCTTCTTATTAAGCACTTACAGGACACCATGAGGGAAAATTCCATACCTAACCTTGTGTGATAGGTCACAGTAACAATCCAAGAGCACTGGCACTAGTCCTAAAGTTCAAAGATACAGCACATTCTTAGCATCACACACACACAAAATGCAGGTAAAAACAAGAACAGGGACTGGATATGGTTGTGCACCCCTATAATCCCACCTACTTGGGAGGCAGAGATGTCAAGAAGATCAAGGTACAAGGTCAGCTTGGGCAAAAAGTTAGTGAGGTCCTCAACAATAACAAAAAAATCTGGCCATGGTGTCATGTGCCTGTGGTCCCATCTACTCAGAAGGCATAAGTAGGAGGACTGCAGTCCAGGCCAGCCTGGAAAAGATGGCATGGCTCAAATGATAGAATGCAATTGTGAGGCCTGAATTCAAAGCCCCAGTACCATGAAAAAAAAAAAGTGCAAAAATATCCTCAGAAAGGGATGAGAGTGTACTTCAGTGGCAGAACACACATCCCTAGTATGCAAAAGGTACTAGGTTGGTGCCCTGCACCTCCCTACCCCCAAAAACTGTGAGGATATAAAACATAATGAACTTTGTGTTTAGATCCCATCCTCAAGATAAAATGTATATAGAAATATTCAAAAATCTGAAATTTTAAACACTTCTGGTCGCAGGTATTACACATTCCAGATAATCAACCTGTAATTAGCTCAGAAAAAGGTTTTGACAAAATCCTACCAAATTCATGACAAATATTCTCAGAGAATGACCTCAACTTGGTAGCATAAAAAAAGGGGGACGGAGCCTGGCGGAGTGGTTCAAGTGGAGAACGTGAGGCTGAGTTCAAACCTTAGTACTGAAAAAACAAAACAAAAAAAAGAAAACAACCCTCTACCTAAGAGCATACCTACCTAATACATTCCACTAAAATGAGAACAATGCAAGATGTCAGTTCTTATGCCTCTTCTTCAACCCAGTACAAAGTACCAAAAGTCACTTCAATAAGGCAATAAGACATAAAAGCTCTACGGATTGAGAGGAAGAAATAAAATTACATCTATTTGCTGATGACATGACTATCTAAATAGAAAATCCCAAGCAAGACCTGACCAGGTTGGTACACCATGTAATCCCAGCACTTAGGTGGTTGAGGCAGGAGGATATCAAGTTCCAAGTGGGCTGTCAAAAGGAAGGAATTGTTACTGTTTGAAGCAAAGAGAGAAAAAAATCAAGATTTAGCCCAGGGGCCTTGGATTACACTTGTGCCTCTGAATGTTTTTCATTCTTCATACATATGAACACCTAAAAACACTAAAGGAAAAGATGCATCAAAACTCATTAATTATAAGGAGCTTATAGCATTTCATAAATATGAAAGCAGTATCACACATAAAAAGTGGTCACTCCAAAAACTAAAATGAAAATACTTGAATACAATTATTTTCACATAAGTTCTCCAAAAGGGAAAAGAATTTCACTCCTCAGTAGTCTTTCAGAAGGGATTAAAATAATGAATGTAGGAACATGGTATATTTAAGCCCAAATTATTGTTATACAGTAAAAGGAAGAAATAGGTCCAAACACTAGTTTTTGGTTATCATATCAGGAATACAAATTTATAAAATATAAGCCATATTGAATACAAAAGCAACTACTACACAGGATAGAAAAAAAATACCAGTTGAAAGAGGATGACTTAGCAATCACTTACTGTAAAAAGATAAACCAAAGTGTCTCAAATTTTTGAGTTTCTCAATCTGAGTAGGTTTTTGTCCTGACCCTAAGATCCTTGGCAACATTTCTTATTATCATGACTGGGGAACTATAAAAACACTTGTGGATGGAGGCCTGAACAATGTATAGAGCAGTCCCCACAACAAAAAAATGTCAAAAATTTCAGCTGGGTGGCTTACACCTATAATCCTAGCTACTTGGGAAGTTGAGATATAGAGGATCATGGTTTGAGGTCAGCCTGTGCAAATAGTTTGCAAGATCCTGTCTCAAAAACAACCACAGCAAAATGGACTGGAGGTATGACTCAAGCAGTAGAGCACCTGGTTTGCAAGTGCAAAGCCCTGAGTGCAAACACTAGTACCACTAAACCCAAAAAATTTCAACAGTGGTCCTGTTGGAAAACTTCTTTATGATAATAAAATTGAAAAACTCTTAGTTGTACAAATTTTTATAATATATAATATATAAGGGAACAGAATTTAAGTGCCTAGTTACAATAGTGATAGAACTGTCAAGTACCTACAATATATCCTATTGCTACTCCCCCCCAATCTTTCCTCTGCCTTTCCCTCTAATCAATCTCAGAACCATTGCTCCTTTTATACTTCTTTTAAACCACTTTCCCATTCCAATACCTCCAATTCTTCTGAGAAATAAAAAGAAACAAAAAATATTGTTTTAGCTATGCTACCTGAGGTCTGGAGCTATATAAGAGTCACAATGAGCTTGACACATGATCATAAAGCTCAGTGTTTTTTTAACAAATGCTAACATAACTGTGTGATGCCTTACCAGGATCACTTAGAGAGATGAGATTTGCAAATTCTAAACCACTATGAAAAATCTCTTCATTCTTAGAAGTTCATCAGCAGGAGGTAAGATAAATTCCAAAAGTTCACTTCTTGCCAATTCAGTAGCCCTTAGATTCCCATCAGGTGCACTAATTAAACCTAGTTTCCTTTTAAGTCTCCTTCAAAAACTCTTCATTTTAATATTCCCAAATTGAGAACAAGTCCATTTAAACCTGTTTGTGTTTTTCAAATTGCATTTCAATCTTGTCTTAGTCTGCATCTTTTTCATTCAATTGCATGCAAATAGAAGCATTTCAGTGCCTACATTCCCCAATACCTTGAACTAATGTTTTTAATATTCTCTCTGTAATTGTTCTAGTTTCATTAAATACTTTGGAAGCAGAATGACTAAAACAATAAGAGAAATACAATAAAATCACAAAAAAATTCATCTGGATGCAAATAAGCCCAGATTTGGGATTTACTTTCAATAATCTTAAAAATGACATAATATCAAAATTATTTTTCACACAAAAAGGAAATCAATACACTTTAAATATTCTAAGATTATGGTACAGTGGTCAGTTAAATGTGGCACTCTTGTTTGTACATCACTTTAGCTAATCATGTGAATGTAAGGTTATTTGTAAATAAATTGGAGACAGAAACAAGACTGAACAGTGTCACAGAAGTAACTTATTTATAGGGAACTTTTTAATGTATCTGGAAGAATCCATAGCCAAAGATTACTACATCTAAAACTCTACTGCTAAAAATATATTAATCTGTCTAGTCATCCATATGTCCAAAACGAAAGCAGAAATATTTTCAGCCAAATACTTCATCATGACTTAACCTTTCTTTATAAGCTAGACTAGTGATTTCTTTCTTTCTTTTTTGTGGTACTAAGAGTTGAAACCACACCAGGCAAGTGCTTTACCAATTGTGCCCTGGCCCCAGGCCTGATTTCTTTCTTATAGAACTCTTTACAACTATTTCAGGGCACTATACTTTTTAAAGCTAGTATACAGTTAATGCTTAATAATGGAGAAAAATTCACTCACCATTTCAGTGGTATGCCTTCATATTCAAACCATATCTCACTAATGTCTTCTTGTTTCATAACCTTCTGAAAGTGCTTTTTCACTTTGTCAGTTACCAACGTCAAATAACTTACTCTTGGCAAAAGCAACTGAAATGAAAATTTGTAAAACCATGTTTATTTACTATTTAATTTTTCCAAAATATATACTAAGTAGGGTTTTTTTTTACTTTAAAGAAAAACAGCCACGTCCTTTGCATGATTTTGAATACCCAACACAAAATCAGCTTCTTTTATCTAACACAAAATCAACTTCTTTTTATGAAAAAAAAAAATCAAAATTGAGATTTTGAATATTTCTTTTATTTTTTCTTTTTTGGCAATACTGGGGCTTCAAACCTTGATCTTCCTGAGTAGCTAGGATTATAGGTACCCCATCACTGGCTAGGGAGTCATTACTTTTAAGTATAGTTTACCACTTTACATAAAAATGTGGTATAATTAGACTTCATGCTGTTTAAGATACTTAATAATGTTAGCCAATTTAACTTAAACTTATTCACCTGGATTAATTAAAGTGTTCTAATAATAAACTCAGTCCCAATATGTACCTGGATTTATCAATCAGAACATCACACTTGGAAGGCTAGGAAAGAATGCTAGGGTGGGTAAAACCTTAACTGGAATAACAAGGACATCACATTCCCTCAGAAAACCTGAGGGAGTCATGGAAAAGTGGCCATGGTTGACAGGAACACACAAAGATATAAAAAGGGGAAGGTGGCAAAAATTCCTACTATTCCTCCTTTGTAGCAGTCACTCTGGCCATTTATTTTCTAACCTTCAGCCAGCCTTCTTTTGCTGGTAAACTTTTTTGTGACTCTCTCTCATCTGCATCTATGAATCTAGCTCTGCATCGTCTATCATGCTGGCTTTTCACAAGGTGATTTTTTTTAACAGCAAATCCAGTAGAACTACTGGGTTGGCAAAGTTTGTATATACAAAGAAATATTCTGGGTAAGAAACTGGTATTTAATCACTGAAATCCAGGATAACAGGTCCCAAGTATGTGGAAGACTGTAACAGTAGTCTAACAGACTAGAGGGACAGGAGTTAGGAGTGAGATTACTGACATGCTATAAATTAGCTATTTAAAAAGTAAATGTACTCTATCTAATAGGTCTACATTAGTAATCCCAGAACTTCAACTTAAAGTGACTACTGGGCATTACATAGTAATAACCTATTCTGCAGATAACAGTATTAATCAATTAATAAGTAAGAAGGAAGATACACTGTGACTAAAGAGCATGGCTATGAGCTCCTGATTTTACAGTTTTGTGCTATAACCTAAGGTTTATCCAAAGTTCCTAGAATTCACAAAATGATTTTCCAGAAATGAAACTTTCTTAGTAATAAGGAATGCAGAGCATTAGAATGCATTAAAACATAGATTTTTGTCTGCTTTTGTCAATGCTACATTCTAATGCCCAAAATAGTACTTTTTTGATAGGAGGCACACGATAAATATTTTCTGAATGAATCAAATGTCAAAGGTTAAATGGGACAAAGAGCCAAAGAATACCCACTCTTAAGGTAGAACCCATACTGAAAGGTACTTGCAATCTTCTGTTTCAAATTACCATGGGAGTAATCTATAACTAACATAAATATCCATAACACTAGGGAAAAAAAACTCTATGGTTTCAGTATAACTATACTAGTGTACCAACAGATACAATTTAACTAGCAAATATTTATATAGCTAAAAAGAAATAGAAAGCAACAATGGAATGACATCATTCTGCCTTTTACCTATAGAGTATACTTCTTATTTTTCTTACGTGTATAAAAATTGTCTCCTTCAAGTTCATTTTTTTAACACAGTAATATATCACTATTAAATATAGTTCAGTGGCATAAAGTACGCTTATTTCACACTGTGGTGCAGCCATCACCACTGATTACTTTTCATCTTCCCATCCCCAGCTCTTGGTAACCACCATGCTACTTTTTATCTCTATGAATTTAACCTCTCTAGGTACCTCACATTTAGCACTGTTCTTTGAATTCTTTTAATATGAAAAGGATTGACCATGTTTGGGGAAACTATTAGCTACTAGGGAATATACTATTCTCTTTATCTAGCACTGGTATAAAGTACTCAGTGATTATGACACTTGTTTTTGCTATACAGTTCAAAAAGAATACATATTGTATGAAGTTATACAGAACAGTTGTATTTCTGAAAAGGCACTCAATATTACTTATGCCAAGTTTTACTCAACAATTTTCAATTACAAAACTAGAGACTTACTTACCTAGGACAAAAATAGAAGTAAAATATATTAGAATTCTATTCCACTCCAATGTGTAAGGTATCATACTAGGCTATAAGGAAGGATTTAGCACTCAATGAGACAGAGTGACTCCTTCCTTTTGTGGAGCACAGAATAAAAAGGAAGATAGATACTAATACAACTTAATTACATGAGATGAATGTAAGAAGGAAACAAAGAATGTTACAACAGCCCCAGTGTAGTGGTATACGGATAAAAGTTCAAGGCCAACCTGGGCTATATAGCAAGACCTTGTCTCAAAGCAAACAACAAAAAAAAGAGAGCGACAGCCAACATTATCAAATAAAAATCGAAAAACAGACTCCATGTTTGGCAAAAAAAGAAAAAAAAAGGAGTCATTAATGATTCTGTCAGCACAGTTTTGTTAGACTAATATGAAAATGTGACTACAGTGAGCTAAGTGGTTTAAAGGAGACAATGAGTATAAACGACCTTTTCAGAAAGTCTGGCTGTGAAAGGAAAGCAAGAAGTAATGGGGCAACAGAAGACTGATGTTTTATGAAAGGAAGAATTGTGAGCAATTTGAATGCTAGGACAGAACCAGTGGGTAAGAAATTGAAGGTAAACAGGGAAAGCAGAGATGAAGGTAGACTGAAATACCACCAACCCTCTGAGGAGGCAAGAGAGGAAATCCAGAACGTACTTATGGGTCAGGCTTGTCTAGGAAGAACACTTCCTCTATTCTAACAGGAGGGAGAAGAAATGAATGCATGTGAATACAGATAGGCTTTGCAGATTTGGTAGCCAAAAATTATCACAAAAACTGAGGTCACCCATTAAGAGTGAAGAATGAGGGTCAGGGATATAGCTCAATGGTAGACTGCTTGCCTATAATCCCAGCCCTTGGGAGGCTGAGGCAGGCTGATTAAGAATTTGAGACCAGCCAGGCGTCAGTGGTTCACGCTTGTAATCCTAGCTACTTCAAGATATATCAGACCTACAACTATATTGGCACTTAAATTCTCACCTATCATTCAAAAATTAGTCACCACTAATGTTTTTATATATATGGTCTTCCTGTATATATTATGTATGCATTTAAAGAACAAAGTCTACATAGTGATAGTCTTAATATTTTCACTTAATGTTTGTTATGTAAGTCTGTCACCTGATATTCCTCAAAAACATAAATCATAACAGAGCATTTCTTTGGGGGAAGAATTAGGAAGAATTCAAGAAAAAAACATAAGAGAGTGTGGAGGCACACTTCTGTAATCACAGCACTCAGGAGACTGAGGCAGGAAGATTATCAGGTACAAGGCCAGCCTGGGCTCTATACTGAGTTCAAGGTCAGCCCAGACTACCTAATGAAACAGTGTCTGGAAAGAGAAGGGGTGGGGTGGGGGTACAGTTACTTATAAAATAAAACAATCGTCCTATTGTTACCAACACTTTGCCATTTTTATTTGATTAGGAACATCTAGAAAACAAACTCCAGTTCTTTTAAGTCTTTTCATATTCAAGCAGATTGCTTTATTTGAATTTTTAACTGCAGGAAGCATCAAATATCAAAGTCTCATTTGAAAGTGAACAGAAAAATGATTTCTCAGTTGTCATTTTGACCAATTCATATTTAAGACATGATTAGAAAGCCTGTCAATGCTAAAAGTTTTAATTAAACAAGCAAAAAACCTTGTTTGGAAACAAATATAAACGGTATCATAACCCATATTACAAAAACCAGAAAAAACACATCTAACAAATGAAATCTTTCTAAAAATAAACTATAACCATACTTTTTTCCTATGAAAGTATGGAAAAAAGTTTCCATATGAAAGTTTTTCTAAAGACAGAAAACTTGAGGTTTCCAAAGTTAAAATGATTTAAATGTATATGAGCTTGAGTACCAGCCACAAGACTGTCCAACTTCTCTAAAATTAGCATTCCTAGGAAGAAAATCCAGAGGATTTCAAATAGAATTCCAACACGAGTATGGAGAGGGAGGCACACAAGTGTCTGCCACTTAAACATCCGTTGCCAGATGTTACGGATGTAAAGACAAAACAGTTCCTAAGCCAGTAAGTGACTGACAGAGATCCTAAAGTAGCTTCTTCCAGCAGTGCGACTTTCACAGCTGGAGGAGACTGAGGAGTAGTGCTGCCTCCTCAGCTAGGTGTGGGAGAACACACAGGACGAACTTCTTTAAAGTGAAACAGAAGCAGCAGTCAACCACCTCAAATACCTTTCCTATCTTCCACATCCTCCCCTGGTAAACTATGGCACATGTTTAGAACAGAACTAGAAAAACAACAACTGAGACCAGCTTTGCCTATGGAGGCCCTTTGGTAAATATGCAGGACACTATCATCTGATTGACAGACACATAAATGTGGATTACATAAGCGCTTGGGGGGGGCACACTAACATAACACATAACATATTTGAAACTCGTTTGTAAAACAAATAATCCATTAACTCAAACCTACATACCTATGCACAGTGATTTTTTTTCTGGGGCGGGGCAGTGCTGGGAACTGAACCCAGGGCCTCCCACATGCTAAGCAGATACGCTAACATCTTGCTACATCCCCAGTTTGATACATTACTAATTATACATTAGCTCATACATAACATACTAGCTCAGTGAATATATGGACATATGTGTGTGCATGTATGTTCATCAGCTCACAGAGCTATAAAAATACTTGTCAAATTAGTTGCTTGGAATCACCTAAATATAAAAGAATCTAATCTGAACCTTATTTCTAAATAGCTTATATGACATAGCACTGTCATATAAGTAACACCCTCCCACAGACCGAACTCAGGGCCTTACACATGCTAAACATGGGCTCTACCACTGAGTTACACCCCTAGTCTAATTCCATTACCATATATTACACATGTATACATACATAAGAAAAAGTCAGAAAAGCATCATCTGTCAAGTGCACTCTTGTGCCCTGAGTGGTAGGATTAGAGGGGATTTAGTACCTTCTTTTTGCTTTTGTATCTAATTTTTCCCAAAGCATGGATAACTGCACATAAAATGTTGGATAACAACCTCCAGGTGCTTTGTACTTTACAAAAATGTACAACATTAAGTATCTCATTTGTCACCACCAACATACTTACATAGTATGGTTCTGCCTCCCTTTCAGTTATCTCATCCTGATATAGAGTGAAGCAAGTTGGAATTCGTCCAAACCATACATCTCGAAGCACATCTTTGTCATCTGTCATTCTTCCAGTGGTCAAAGCAGTACATATAGGCTAAATTTTTTCTTCAACCAAAGACAAACTGAAAACAAAATGAAGAGCATTAGTCAGATCCTTGCAAGGATGGAATGAAATGAAAGTTTAAAGGGCTGGTGGCCTGGTTCAAGTGGTAGAGCACTGGCCTAGCATGCACAAAGCTCTGAGTTAAAACCTCAGTACCACTAAAAATAAATAAATAAATTTTAAAAACAAAAAACTGCATGATCAAGCCAGGCACAGTGGTACATGCCTATAATCCCAGCTACTTGGGAGACTAAGGCAGGTGTTTGGAGTCAGTATCCATAATGTAGCAAGACTCCATCTCTTAAAAAAAAAAAATGGAGCCAGGCACCAACCAGTTTACATGTCTGTAATCCTAGCTATTCAGGAGGCAAAGTTCAGAAGGATCACCTCTGTTTGAAGGCAGCTTGAGTAAATAGCCAAGAGACTCTATCTTGAAAATATCCAACAAAGAAAAGTGCTGGCAGAGTGGCTCAAGCGATAGAGTGCCTGCCTAGCAACCAAGAAGATGGAATTAAATAAATAAATAAATAAAAAAGATGGGTGTGTAGCTCAGTGGTCGAGTGTGCAAAGGCACTGGGTTCAATTCCCAGCACTGCAAAAGAAAACATATGATCAGCATTCTTTAGAATAAATGCACAAAATAAGTACAACAAATTCTAAATGCAGAGTTACTTTTTATTTAAAAGGATCATAGACAAAGTAGGGCAAGGTGGTACGTGCCTATAATCCCAGCATCTGGGAGACTAAGGCAGGAGGATCAGAGTTCTAGGACAGTCTGAGCTATACAGTTTGTTCCAGACCAGCCTGGGATATGAGACTTTGCCTATTTAAAAAAAAAAAAAGTCCCTATACCACAAAAATAGCACTGGCATAAGCACAAATATTCTGGGTATGGTAGGAGGACATGGATTTTTTACCTCTGTAATATCTAAGTACCTTCCAATACTAATATTTTACAACTAGGCAACACTACTATATACGTCATGAGTAAATGCTGAAATACTGTTGATAATAAATGCTAGAGTAACTCAAATAAGTGGCACCTAGACACTATGATTCAATATTGTCATGCAAATAATATTTCCCATTTTCTCCATCTTTCATAAGCACCTAATTTGTAATTAATCACAATTTGTACTGTGAAAAAATTCTAAATCATCACATGACATCCCCCCAAACAATGTGAGCCTAGACAAATATCAATTATTAATAATCCAAGGAACTTGTTACTTTCATCTTTTCCCCTGACAATGCCAAGTACAGTAAGAGTGCCATCAATTAATTAAAGAGGAACACTGAAGGTCAATTCGATGCAAGGTCATTCACAGGTAAAATGAAAGAGGTGGGGATAAAACCTGTCCAATATCAAAATAACAGGGGACAGTCAAATCAGGATAAGAACTCTGGTACTTAAATCGAATCCAGTGTTCCTTTCACTATATACCGAGTTTTAACTTTTATTAATTTCATAGGCCCTCAGTATCTGTGGCTATACGGCACTAAGGAGACCAACGTTGAGGAAGATGTTCAGGATGAATAGTTTAAATAACTGAGGATTAACAAGGAACTGAGTTTTCCTGCATCAACTGAGCTACATAATGCGATTGTGGGAGTTCTGGGTTTTTTTAGGGGTTTTTTGACCAAGTATAATAAATCCAGAAGACAGGCTTATTGTATATTCATAGACATTTGCTTAGTTTAAGCAAATGTTACACATATGTAAACTTCATTCACTTCCCTGCCTGTGACAGGTTTCAAATTCAAACATCCTATGATGACACTGAACTCATAAAAAATTTCCAAGTTTACAAATCACACAAAATTAACTCACTGAAGATAGGAAAGACCTCATTACTTCCCAACTGCATTAATAGTCTGGTTTTTTGCCATAGTGCACACCTGTAATCCTGGCTACTCAGGAGGCAGAGATCAGGAGGATCAAGGTGTGAAGCCAGCCTGGGCAAATAGTTCATGAGACCCTAACTCAAAAAAACCCATACAAAAATAGGGCTGGTGGAATGGCTCAAGTGGTACAGCACCTGCCTAGCAAGCGCCAGGCCAAGTTCAAACCCCAGTGCCACCAAAAAAAAAAAGTTTGCTTTTTCAAAATAAATTTACTAGTGAAATCTAGGTTATGACAAGTCAATCTAAAACTGAATTTGATATAAAGGTAGTAAGCAGTGTTTTCTATAACCATTATAGACTCAGTAAATCAACAGAGAAAACAAGAGCTCTTTTACTAACAGACTTTAAGAAAACTTTTCTTGGATGGAAAGTAACTCAAGTGCAAGAGTTCAAGAGGTATACCAGACCTTTTGTTTTTCTTTTTCTTTTTTTTTTTTCTGTACTGGGGTTTCAACACAGGGCCTGGAACTTGCTAGACAGGAGCTCTACCAGTTAAGTCATGACCCCAGCTGGGTTTGCTTTGGTTATCTCTTTTAGATAGGGTTTCTCCTTTTTTTTGGTGGGGGGCGGGGATAAGGGGGTGGGGGTGGGGTTGCCCTGAGTGTAGGATTACAGGTATGAACTACCACACCTGGCTAGACTTTAAGAAAAATCTCATTACAATTTTAGGTTTTTTTCTTGTTTAAGTTTGTTTTGGTTTGGTTTTTTTGCAGTGCTGGGAACCAGCCCAGTGCCTTACCCATTCTAGGCAAGCTCTTTACCACTGAGCTATATCCTCACCACAGTTTATTATCAATTTTAAAGTTCAAAATTCACTATAAATATTTTCACAGGATGATTTTTCTTCTTAGAAGAAGCGGTAAGAAAATAAAATTCAAGACAATTCAAGCTTAAAGTGGGTGTGGCCACCTAAGGAGAGACATCTCTACAGACTCTAGCCTCTCCATGGCTCATTGGTATAGCACCCGCCTAAAAAGCGGGAAGTCCTGAGTTCAAACTCCAGTACAACCTAAATTAAATAAAAATATATATATATATTAAATTAATATTAGCAATATTAAAAAACAACCTGATTGGTCAGATTCCAAGAGACCATTTGAGCCATGTTTATTAGTAGACAAGGCTCACCAAAAAGCAAAATCTCATGCATGTGGGTGTTATCCATCTAGGCTGCCAGATACTTCACCATCCTTTGCTCTTCCCATGTCATTCTCTTCTCTTTCCATGTGTCAGAACAGTAAAAGGAGTCTACAGCCATAGCACCCTGAACACACCCAATCTCATCTGATCTCAGAAGCTAAGCAGGGTTGGGCCTGGTTGGTACTTAGAAGGGAGTACAGTAGAAGGAAACAGCCAATGCTCTCTCTTCTCTTTGATTCTGAGATATCACCTCAAAACCCCAACAATAGGTGTGGGTTTTAAAGTCTTGTGTTTCAGTCACATTTACCAAAGTCCTACAGTAGAATTTTTAGGTATAAACCTTTGAAAAATGAGTTGGTATTTTATCTCCCATATATCATTGTTTCTTACATATGTACATATATATACATATATATATATTTTTTTAATGGTCCTGGGGTTTGAACTCAAGGCCCCAAGTTTGCTAGGCAAGTGCTCTACCACTTGAGTTACTTCCCAGTCCGCTATATATTTCTTATAGGATCTCAAGAGAAGAACCTGACTGAGCCAAAACAGCTAAAAATACAATGTGGTAGAGATGACACAAACTTTGGAAAACAGATTTATGAAACGTAAATGATACCATTTATTGCCTCAAAATATGCACTCAAGTCAGCACTGGGGTGGGATGGAGAAAGACAGGAAGATTACAAGTAGGAGGCCAGCCTGGACTTAAAAAAAAAAAGAGGAACTCAGTGTTAGAGAGCCCCCTTAGTACTACCATAGGCAAGGCCTGGATTCAATTTCCATCACAAAAAAAAAAAAAAAAAAAGACTTGCTAGGCAATGGTAGCTCACACCTGTAATCCCAGCTACTCAGGAGGCAAAGCTCAGGAGGATCAAGGTTTGAAGACAGCCTTTGGACAATAGTTTGTGGACCCTATCTCAAAAAAAACTCATCACAAAAAAGGACTGGTGAGTGACTCAAGGCTTAGGCCCTAAGTTCCAATCCTAGTACTGAAAAAAAAAAAAAAAGAAAGAAAATAGACTCTAAGAACTATAAGAATAATCAAAAGCATTACAAGGAATTATAAGAATTGAAAGAGCAAGGGTGTGAGTTCAACTATGATATATTTTAAGAACTTTTATAATGTCACAATGTACCCCCAAGCTGACAATAATAAAAAGAAAAACAAAAAAAAAATTATAAGAGTACAAGAAAGTAATAGAGCACTGGTAAGATCATTTGACGTACCCAGTTATGTAGATGACCTTAGTCATTGCTGAGAAAGTATAAGAATCCTCCAAATCTACTAAATGTACCAAGCACTAGCACTTTCATGTCCTTTCCATGCCCCTTACCCTACAGCAGCCTTTCTACTTTGTCTTCCAACTTAAACATTATCTTTTCCTACCCAGCTGAGAACAGCCTTTCTTCTATGCATGACTCCAGTAGAATCCTCCCTTTCCTCACTGCACCTTTATTCTTCCAAGCTTGTGCTGAAGATACTTGTTTGTATGTATGAATCCTTCAGGAGACAGTAATGCACCTCCTTAGAGGAAAGAATCATCTTTTAACCTCTGTTACTCAGTACACTGTCTGGAATACAGTAGATGCCAAAAAATCTTCATTAAATTTAAAGTTGTTAGAGAGAGTTCATGAACACAAAATTACAATTGGTCCAATCAGAGTCCCCCCAAAACCAGGTGATCAAGTCAATTCAGATAATAAAAATCAGCTAATAGTATTTTAAAGTATCATTTAAAAAATCAAGTTAGGGACTAAAGGTGTCACTCAAGTAGTAGAGTGCCAGCTTTACAAACGTGAAGCCCATGCCCCCCCTCTAAAAAAGCTAACTTCAGAAAACAGTATACATTTTACATTACATGAGAAAACTATGTAATATTAAGTATATCAACTATTTATGGAGTGGTTACCATGTACTAAATACCCACGCCCTGTGAAAACTAGAATTATTTTCATTTTAGATAATAAGATTCAAAGAGGACAGATTTGTTGTCCAAGAATACACAACTAATAGGTAGAATCTGGGTTTAAACCCATGTCAGTCTGATTTCAAAGTGTACTTTGCTGTATTAGCTATTGCCAGCATTTAAATGTTCCCTGTCCTCGTTCTCATTTTTCACCGTTATTCATTCTTCCTTGGTAATAGTTCTATCTGTCTGTAACAATCCACGACAACCATTCTAGGTCAAGCACTTATTTCTTTATGCCTTAGTTGCCAAAACTGCTTTCTGGCTAACCTAACTTGAGGCGCTCCTCTTGTGTACTGCTACCAAGTAACTGCTTCCAGTTCACATTTATCAAACCTCATGGGCTCTCTTGCCCTAGTAGATGAAATTGAGACACCACCCCTCTACCAATTTTCCATATGGTACGCTTCATGATCTTTTACAGATGAAATTTTTAAGCACTTACTGTTGGGTCCATTACTGTATCAAAAACACTGATTTTTTTTTTTCCACGGAACAACCTGTCACTTGGGTATTATTAATTTTAATTCACAGGTGAGGGAAACTAAGGCTTAGGATCATGAGATATTTAAACACATTACAGAGTCAACTCACTGGTTATCTACTACTCTTCCCAACCAAAATTTCCTAAAAAGTTGGCACATTTCCTGCCTTTATTGATGCTATTTGCCCTACTTAAAGAGTATAGACAGTCCTCAACTTAACGTGGCTCAATTTAGGATTTTTCAATTTGATGCTGACTATGATAATGCAAAAGCAATATGCATTCAATAGAAGCTGTACTTGGAATTCTGAATGTTGATCTTTTTCAGGCTAGCCATATGTGGTATGATACTCTTGTGATTCCTGGCAGCTGCAGGTTGCAGCTCCCAGTCAGCTATGGGATCACAAGGGTAAACAACCCATACTCACAGTGAATGATGCTGCTAAGTTGTGATTTTCAGCAGGTTAGCCATATTAAATGCATTTTCAGCTCGTATTTTCAACTTACAATGTGTTTATTGGGACATAACCCCATTGAAAGTATAGCCATCTGAATTTTCCTTCCTGCCTATATTCTGCCTATCCTTTAAATTCCACATATTTTTAAATTCCTTGAACAGTACAGGATACATTAACATTTAACTCTTGTACCCCTTTAAGAATGCTCTTACAAATTTTTTTTTAAATAGAATTTCACTATGAACCTAGACTGGACTTGAATTTGCTATCTAGACCAGGCTGTTCTCAAACTTGAGATTTTCCTGCTTCTGCCTCCCAAGTGCTAGCATTATAGGTGTGTGCCACCATACCCAGCTTCAAAGTAACATTTAATTAGCTATATTCACCATGGACAAAGGAATGTTTGGGACTGGAAGGGATGTGTGGTATTATGGAAAGAATATGAGATTAAGAAATCTGAGTGTGGCTTCTAGCTTTGGATCTATCATTTATTATTGGCCATAGGATTTAAAAAAAAAAATCCAGCCACTTCATCTCAAATTCAACATCTGTAAATTGGAAATTTATAGCCTTGTATAAAGTGTCAGCTATTATAAAATATATACCATTTCTGGCATTAACTTGGTTTTCTGGAGGGATTCTGGGTTTTTTTTTGGGGGGGCGAGGAATGAGCTTCACATTTGCAAAGCTGGCACTCTACTACTTGAGTGACACCTTCAGTCCTTAACTTGATTTTTTAAAACAGTACTTTAAAATACTGTTAGCTGATATTTATTAGCTAAATTGACTTGCTCACCTGGTTTTGGGGGACTCTGCTTAGTTCTGTAATTTTGTGTACTCTCTTCAACAAATTTAAATTCAATGAAGACTTTTGGGCATCCACTCTATTCCAGCCAGTGTCCTGAGTACAGAGGTTAAAACATGAGTGAAATATGACTCTTTCCTCCAAGGAAATGCATTACTGTCTCTAGGAGGAGACACCCATACAAACAGCCCCTCTACTGGAACACACCCTCTTCTTTTGGCCACTCTTTAATCCTCTCTTGAACAATTCTTAAACCTTTTAAGAGTCAGCGTAATGGCAGCTCCTTGGGAAGTTTTCCCCTAAGCAACCTCCAGTCTAATTACTTGAGCAGTTATGTTTGTTATCTTCTTCCTACACTGAACTGGGAGTTCCTTGACAGTAAAGACAAAAAATTTCCAACTTCTGTTAAATGATGGGGAAAATATAACTATATTAATCTAGCCACTTTAGAAACTCTTCCACCTAATCAGATAATCACACTTTAAATTCAGCAAATTTCATTATTCTAAAAAAGGATTTTCCCTACATACTATACACCATTGTTACCATCAATCCAATTTTGAATGTCTAGAAATCTCAACCCATGATGAAAACTTCACGAAGTTCAAATCCTAGTACCACCTCCTCCCTGCACTCCACCCCAAAAAAACCTTGTAGAAATAAGTTTCTTGAGGGGCAGCTGCTTCTTGACTGCTCTATTTCTACATCTAGATTTGGGCTTGGGACAGAGTAGGTACCCAATCAACATCTGTTTCCCAATTTAGTCATTCAGCAAATACAAACCAGGATAAAAATGCACAGACTCCCATTCACGCTATCTAACAAAAAAGGCTAACCTACTACCTGGAGCTATTTTTAATGACAAAGCCCCCAATTACCTAGAAATTACTTAAATCATCAAATATTGGAATAAGTTTATAAACAACTAAAAATAATATGTATGCTGGCAGGTCTCCCTTTAAATTTACGAACACCAACCTCAAACGTGGGTAAGTCCTGGGTACTGTCCTACATTTCCCTGCTTCATCCACTTCCCTACTTTCCTTTTCCTCCCTTAAATTCCCACAATTCTTTCCCCAATCTTGCTCAACTAATGACCTGGCTTTGTACATCCTTTTATCAGGTTACTACGGAATGATTCTCAACTGAGATTTTAAATGCCCCACCCTAGGGTGGAGGGTGAGGAGAGGACCTTGTAAACTTCTCTCCAAAATGTTCCAGTGTCCCAGGGCTCAGTCCTTGAGCCACTCCCCAGGAGATGTTTCTCCTGGCTTTAAATATCATTCCTACATTCACAATTTATCTTCAGCTCAGGCTTCTGAATTTGTTTCACTACTATATACTGACATTACTATTTGGAAATTTGACATGTGCAAAACTGAAAATGATTTCAGATCTTCCTCCATTCTCCCATTACTGCTGTCTTTTCCACTCCATTCCTTAGTTGCTCAGGCCACAAACCTATCATCCTTGACTATTCTTTCCACTCTGACTCCTAGCTTAGAAAGAAGTCTGAACTCTGGTCATTCCCAACTGGCTTCACTATTACCACACGGATCCATTACCTGGAGCTTAACGTGAATAAATGCAACGGCCTACAAACAGCTCTCATTTCTGCCTGCTCTGCACCGTCAACCTAACAACCAGACTGATCGTTTATAAACTCCTACTTACGATTTACACCTTACTGAAACCCATCTCAATCAAAGCCAAACATCCTTACTTTCAAATTCACAATTCAACAACTCACAATCAAAATCACAAATATTTCAGTCAAACCCAAGTACTTAGTGTCAAGGAGGTTCATCGCGTGGATTCTGAAGTTTTGGAAGTTCGGCTGCTTTTTGGTAAGTCTCTGGGCTCTGATTAGTGAAAGGTATTCAATGCTTCCTCACCCCTCAGAATAGCCTAGAACCAACCCAGAGTCCTAGGTTCCTCAAGTTCAGGTATGATTTGAAAACAATTCAAAGTACACTGAAGTATATGAAAGTGCTTTACTAGCAGAAAACGGCTGCGTTAGCATTAAATACCATTCCTAAAATGAGACTACAAGAATGCCAGTGTAAAGATAAGTTGTCTAGATCAAATACTCACCGAGTTCTGACAGAACTGAAATGTCCTGTGAAACAGCTATGGTTTAAACAACTGTCCCACGAATAATGCAGTCCCCGAAATGAACTCTTGAACCTGCCTTTGGGCTCACGTTTCCACCTTACCAGGGAAGTGACACTCCCAGAAGGGGCCGTGCGCACAGGCCGGCCGCAAAGCCCGGGGACCGGGTCTTGTCAATCCCACTTCAGCCGGAGGAGCCACGGTGACCCGCCATCGCAGCCCACGGTGCACTCTCGCCAGTCACTCACTCACTCCTTCCTACCACACCTACCCGTCCCCTCACCCGGCCATCCTCCTCAGACACTTCCCCACACTGTGACACACAGACGCAACCCCTACCCGGAATGCCGGCTCCTTGTCCGACTTCCCGCACCGGTGAGGTGGCTCGTTTCCAGCTCTGCCTGCTTGACCCACACTGTCCCGCAGAGGCAAGAAAGCAGGAGTCCCCGACAGCCCGCGCAGCCGCACAAAGCACCGGCGCGGAGGTCGGAGCCAAGCCCGGTTGTACTTCCGCTCTCCGGTATCCAGCGAATGCAATCCGCAGCGCAGCGGAGCCCTGGAAGCGCACTGCAAGTCCAGTCACCCTGGGCGCCGGGAGATGACGTCACGGGACCCACGTGGCCTCCGCTCCGCCCTCTGAGCGGCGCCCAACCCTAAGAGTTCAGAACCTCTCTTGAGCATGCGCAGATAGCGCGGAGCGCCTTGCTGTGGAAAGAAGGAGCTCCAAGTTCGGAGGCTCTAGACCCGAGGTTGGCGCCAGAAGGTAGTCATTGTTGATTAGGAAGGTTAATGTGACAGTTCCACAGGAACAGAGAACAGAGCGTTTTAAAAATACAAAGACATTGCCTTCCTTGAACGTAGCGTTCCACTCTTCCTGATGTCATAAAATCGCATTATTAAAACGTTGATTTTCAAAGTGTCTTTACATTAATTTTCCCAGTTGACCGCAACTTTTTTAGAACCTTAATTAGTAGCTGTGTCTAACCGAAGACTCCGTGAGTACTGAACCCTTCCGCCTATCCAACAGTGCCTGTCGTTATCTTCCTGTTTCTGAAAATACCAAGCGATAATAAACTTAACTTCTGCAGTGTTTGAATGGGATCTATTCAGAAGCCTCACCAGGCATTTAAGGGTTTTCTTATAATTACACATGCTATAATTCCCTGCATGCTAAGTAAATACTGGCAGAGACTCAAGACAGGTTCCTGATGATTGGCAAGATAAGGAAAATCGTGGTCTGGCTATGTAGCCCATGCTGGCCTTGACTGCCCCCAATGCTGGGATTGCAGATGTGTCTCAGCACACTTGGTTCCAAGTGATTATTCTGAAAAGAAGAACGCTATGGCTGGAGGTACGCCTCAAGAGGTAGCATGCCTGCCTCCCAAGTGTGAAGCCCTGAGTTCAGAACCCAGTACTGCTGTTGCGGGATATTCAAGCAGGGTAAAGGAACACCAAGGCTTTTCAGGAAGCAATATTTATTACCGTGCTGGCAGCGGCTCAGCGGATTCACATGCCAAGGCTGAACCCTGAGAACAAAGGGCTTTGCCTTATATACCTTTGCAAGCAGCTTACAGAAGCAAGAAGCAGAGTTTAACCCATATATGGCTGTAGGAATCTCTATGGGCTACTTCACCCTCAGTGCTGTGTGACCTTCCTCGAATTCACATTCTCTACGTTTTATCTCCCTGCTATGTTGTTCCCCTCCTCCCTGCTACATTATCCCCCCCTTTGATGCTGAGGCCCATCTAGGGTCAAAGAGCATCATCTTGATTTAGGAGTCTCTATTTCCACAGCATCATTACACTGGCAGCTGTTTTCCTTTCTATAGTGGCCTGACTGCAATAGCAAGGGAACAGAGCAGGGGCACTATTAAACATGTTCCTGATAGAAGAATCATTGCCCCTATCAGGGTCTTGAATCCTCCCAAGGCAGAACCAACCTCCAAACAGGTCATTGGGATTCCACCCTGTCCAAGTCTGGACAGGGACATGGGCAATTTTTCTCATTCTGTCTGATTTCTTCTATGACCTTTCCTTCATCATCAATCTGTAGACAGCAGTTACTTAGATTGAGCTTTCCACATACACCTCCCTCAGAAGCAAGCAAATAGTCCAAGGCCAGGCAGTTTTGGTATATTGTATTGTGCACCTTTATGTGCTGTTTGGCCAGTACGTTAGACACCTTGCAACCAAAAATCGTATGTTCTCCCTCATATGTGGACATTAGATCAAGGGCAAACACAACAAGGGGTTGGACTTTGATCACAAGATAAAAGCGAGAGCACACAAGGGAGGTATGAGGTTTGGAAAGACACCTAAAAAGCTAGATAGCATTTGTTGCCCTCAACGCAGAGAAACTAAAGTAGATACTTTATTTATTTATTTATTTATTATTGTTTTATTATTCATCTGTGCATACAAGGCTTGGGTCATTTCTCCCCCCTGTCCCCCACCCCTTCCCTTACCACCCACTCCGCCCACTCCCTCTCCCCCACACCCCTTCAATACCCAGCATAAACTATTTTGCCCTAATCTCTAATTTTGTTGAAGAGAGAGTATAGGCAATAATAGGAAGGAACAAGTGTTCCTGGTTGAGATAAGGATAGCTATACAGGGATGAGGCCAATAGGAGAAGGGGACCAGGAACTAGACAAAAGGTTAGTTTGAGAAGAATTAACCTAGAAGGTAACACACATGCACAGGAAATCAATGCGAGTCAACTCCCTGTATAGCTATCCTTATCTCAACTAGCAAAAACCTTTGTTCCTTCCTATTATTTCTTATAATCTCTCTTCAACAAAATTAGAGATTAGGGCAAAATAGTTTCTGCCAGGTAGCGAGGGGGTGCAGGGAGAGAGGGAGGGGGCGGGAGCGGGGGGGCAAGGGAGGGGGTGGGGGAAGGGGGGAAAAATGACCCAAACATTGTATGCACATATGAATAAAATAAAAATTAAAAATAAATAAATAAATAAATAAAATTAAAGAAAAAAAAAAGAGACCTTGCAGTTTCATTAGTTATAATTTCAGCTACCACCTGGAGCCAAATAATGGGGTTGAACATACAAATCAGGGTCCAATAGCCTCAGAACCCATCTTCTGCCCAAGTGGCAGGACCATAACACTGGATGATTTGCTCTGGAGGCCACGCATCATCCTTCCAGTTACCAATTTGTAAGGTACCCCATTTCTTTCTACTTGCCTTTTCTTCATGGATGGAGACTCCCAATTTTTCACTTGTGTGAGTGGGAGCAAGAAAAATGATGGCCGGATTGTGCCAAGGACACAGGACCTAAGCCAACTGTTAGGTAGCACCATATACGCTTGCTTCCCATGGATCAAATGTAGCCCCCGGGTGCCTGCCAATCTATATTTGCAGTAAGATTGTTCCAAGCTTTTCGGAGAGCAGAGAAGTTGGCCAATGGTGGGGCTGGGGTTCTGTGTGGTTTGGAGTTCCCCACCATTGGGTCTTTTGGGCAATGTCATTGTCTTAAACAAGTTAAATCCCTCACCAGGGTGGAGAACTGGCCTTTTGGGTGGGAAATACAGTAATTTCCGATGATAGAAGTTTTTAGGAGCCAGACATTTTTTTCTCTGGCTAGGGAAGGCAGTTTCATTAAAGGACTCCCACAGGTTTAGCTCCTTAGGTTTCCATGGCCAGTGGTCTCCCAGGTTGGTTCCTCCACAAACATAGCATGAGGTGACATTGAGAGTCTGGGATATAGACTCAGGTAGTGAGAGGAACAGGTTTCTGGCCTTGAGAGAGATAGAAAATTCACTCCACGTTTCCTCATAAAAGGAGTAAAAAACTTGGTATGAGGACCTCTCATGGGTAACAGTTACTAATTGAGGTGCATCAGAGTTCCAGGGTCAAGGCCCTTTCCATCTATCCTTATACAAATTATGTGTCCCTGTTTTCAATCAGAGGGATTAAATATAGTAAAATTTATGAGGTTACAGGTGCCAGGGGCACGGTCAGAGGTAGCTGTCCCCTTGTGAAGGAGGGCTGCATAATCTGCCTTTTGTCACATAGCCCATGAAACACAACCCCAATATGGGCAATAATAGGAACCTACCTCATCACATGGCCAAGAGTTGTCTCCCCAGCACATATACTTATCATTTGATGTATATGCTCTTTCCCAAATTAGGCCCCCACAGCCACAACCTATATTCCACATCCACCTTGGTCTATGGCTGCACATGCATCAAAGAACAATGACACTGGTTTATCAGGGTTAAACACCTGGGTGTGGTTGATGAGGTTCTCAAGGTTGTGGATGCTCCAGACCTCTAGCCATTGTTCCTGAGGGTGGTAGGTGGGGTTGAAGCAGATATGCTGATCACCATGGGCACACACCAAATAGGTGGTATGGTTGTGGGTGCGTGCCCCAATGACAGTGCCTGCAAGGAATAGTTAAGTATGGAAAAGCAGAGTTCTGGTGACAAATTTCCTGCCTGGATAGTATGCATAAATAAGTCATAGTTTGATATCTGGGAGTTCCTGAGCAAGGGACTGGTTAAATTTAACAAAAGGAAAACATGGAAAAGACCCATCCCTAGAGGGAGAAGAACATGACTCCTCAACCTTCCTCTGTGCATAGACTAGTCAGCTTCTGGAGTGACTAGAATAGGGCTGTGTCCCATTGTTCATTGTCCCTGTTGTTTCCTGGGAAACAGAGTCCTGCCAGGTTGGGGCACAGATGTTCTGGAGGGTGATCTTGCACAGTGAGACTGGGTCAGGGATGCATTCCTACTTGAGAGAGGATGGCTTTACTCAGCTGTGGTGGATCCAAGGAGCAATCTCTGCTACTTTAACTGTGGTGGAGACAGACAAAATAACAACAAAGCAGCCTCTCCAATGAGGTTTTAATGGCTGGGCATTCCATTCCTTCACCCAGATGGCATCTCCTGGCCTGTAAGGGTGTACAGGTGTTGTCAGGCTAACAGGAAGTCTCTCCCAAACCCAGTCATTGATTTTTGAGAGAGTCAACCTGAGAGCCTGTATCTGCTCTCTCAAGGTGAGGTACCCTATTTCTTTGAGGTCCCCCATATGCTCTTGATTAAGAGGGGTGGGTGTCCATAAAGGACTTCAAAAAGTGAAAGCCCTGTCCACTTTGTTGAATAAACCTAATCCTCAGTAATGCTGTGGGTAGTAATTGATCCCACTGCAGATGGGTGTCCTGATATAGTTTTCCCAACTGAAATTTTAGGGTTCTATTCATACATACTACTTTTCCTGAACTCTGGGGGCAGTAGGCTATATTCAACTTCCAGGTGATTCCTAAGACCTTAGCCATCAGATGTACCACCTTGGCCACAAGGTCTGGCCCATTATTGGACACAATAGACACAGGTATTCCAAACCAAGGGATTATTTCCTTTGGCAGACATCTGGCCACCTCCTAGACCTTTTCAGTCTGCATGGGGAAGGCTTCCATCCATCCTGAGAAGGTGCAGATAAACACCAGTAGATATTTGTACCCTTGAGCTCATGGCATTACAGTGAAGCCCACAACCAAGTTTTCAAGAGGAGTTCTGCCAATGCTCTGCACCTGGGTAGGCAACCTTGGCCCTTGCC